TTGTGTGTGTGTATGTGTGTATGTGCATATTGTTTGAGTGTGTGTGTATGTGTGTGTGTGTGTGTGTGTGTGTGTGTGTGTGTATGTATGTATGTATGTGTGTGTGTGTGTGTATGTGTGTGTCAGCGTGTATAAGAGAAAAAGAGACAAAAACTTGGCTTTCTTGCTGGGGGCTCTCGTGACCTAGAGGTTAAGGTGTTGGCCTCTCATTCAAAAGGTCCCGGGTTCGAATCCGGGTAGCAACAGAAACATTTTCTCTTCTAAATTTGTCTCCTTTCACCTCATTTACTGCTCTCTAGCAATGTTCTGTCGTCTGCTTTCGTCTCTTCCTTCTGCCCCCTACCCCCTCACCTCCTTTGCCCCTTCCTCTGGGCTCCTGATTCTTTCTGCAGCCTTTCTACTGCTACTCCTTCACTTCTTCTTACTGCTGTCTTTCAGCCACACCCCTGATCTTCTGGTAGGAAAGATCTACACCTAGCCTTCTCGGACAAGGGCTAAAAATCTCGGAGGGCCCGTGTGCAAGTTGCGCACGTTAAAGGTCCCTTGGTGGTCTAAAATCGATAAGAGTAGGCTTCGGCCGCCACCCGGACAAAATTCAAAAGTTCCTACCAACTGAAAATATTAGGTGTGTCCCGCGCGCTCATATGACCTTATGCGGTTGCGAGCGCCGTAACACAATTTACAAAAACAAAACAAAGCTTTCTTGCTCTTTTATGCTACAATTTTGGCCCTTGTACGAGGAGCCTCTTTGCCGCGGAGGGCCATTGAGCAAGAGAGTCCGAACGTGAGTCACTGCTCATAAAATTCATTTATCAATTGGGGCACTACCTTTTACTCATAGTAAGGAGTCGTAGTTATGTGGTGTGGTACCAACCTGAAGGGTACCACTGTAAATGAAAAAAAGACAATTAAAACCTCTTTTGGCTTTTAAATCCTGGACCCAAAACGAGAGACTTGGTTCCTTTTAAAAAAATCTAAGCTAGTACTATTAAGCTGTTTTGATGGAATGTCAAAAAAGTAACTTTATGGTTCCACTTCCAAGTCATTGTCTGTTAGTCACTTATGCCCATAGGGGTCAAACGTGTTGAGCAATTATGTTGCATATTTTTACCCTCTCCTTTATGTTCCATTTTATTAAATGGCATCTAACATTAACAGGCACAAACTTTCTTTATAAAATGGATTTACTTACTTACTACGCGTTACACCATTTGGCGTTTAGGGCAGCAACAAAGGATCTCCAGCTCTGTCTGTTTTGGGCCATCCTGGACTATTTTAGACTGTACTGTGCGTCTCCAGGTCACGTTGGGTCTGCCCCTCTTGCGAAGTCCTTAGGGTGTCCAGTGGAGGGCAGTCTTTACAATAGAGTCTGGTTCTCTTCTCAGAACATGCCCAATCCATCTCTATCTTCTCCTTGTCATTATGGGGATGTCCTCTTGCCTACATTTCCGTAAAAGATCTTCATAATATGAAGTTCATATGTAACAGCTGTAGTGAGTATAGTAGCAAAAGCGGCTGCCGCCGTAGCAACATCACTTAAACCTATCCGTACCCCCGGGGTTGTATTCTTCACATTTTAGAATACTTCTAGTACGAATACCTCTTTAAAACTTTCTGTTTTTCGCAAAAAATCATTTTGACTTACTGCTATGCAAAGCGTGCGGATCGGACTAACAAGGACATTTTCCTCTTTGGAAAGTGGTGGCACAGAGTTCCCCACGTCGCACGGATACGAAAGTAAAACACGACGTAGCGATAGGGTTAAACAAGAATGGCGCCCGCAGCACCTACACTAAAGCAACAGCCACGGCAGCTGTTGCAATTGATGAGGCAATGACAGTCGTAGCAGCAGAATCTGCAGAAAAAATCATCAATTGAAACTCTGTAGTAACACAGGAATAAAGCAGCTGCACAAATGTATATTCCTGTTTGTTTCGGTTTTTTGTTTTTTAAATGTTTTTTCTTATGCCTTGGTTTTGGTCCTTAGTTGTTGTTTTTTAATAAATGCTATCTATCTATCTATCTATCTATCTATCTATCTATCTATCTATCTATCTATCTATCTATCTATCTATCTATCTATTATTATATATCTATCTTCATCATGATTGAAACGAACAGACATTTTCCACCTTTACCCATCCTGGGTTAGCATCTATGTATGTTTTTCTCCTCACAATCAACTACGTACCAACATGCCCATCCAACCCTCCTACCTCCCGCCTTACCTCGACCTCCAACTCTTTTCAACCCCATCCCTCCCCCTACCCCCCAAAAAAAAACAACAACAACCCAACCAACTACCTCCAACACCCCCCCCCCCCCCAAAACCCCCTACAAAAGGGTGTTAAAAGGGGGGGAGCCAGAAAAAAGGAAA